GTGCATCCGCGTCTAACTAGGGATCTCTTTGCTAGCGCGTTCAGCAACACTATAGGATTGTTCGGCGTACTATACCTCCCATTTAACTGACTCATTTGAGTCATTCGCAATTTACTTGGGTGCATTAACATAAGAGAAGCCGCAGACTTATCCATGCGATTAATCCAGAGCAAGTGAAACGTTTTCAAAATACCCATTGGGACAGTCCAAGTGGCCTTAATTGGCTGACAAATGAAAATGTTTAAGTCCGTCTACTGTTGTGCAGACGTGTAATCCAGTCGCTGTTTCTACGTCACTTGTAACCGCAGTTGTCATGCAAAATTCAATTATTAGTCGAGCTTGCTGAGGACCAGCATGTTAAAGCAACCTACAACGTGAACCAGAAAAAAGAGAGATACATTTGCTTAAACGGTTCGCCGCCTTAGAGTACCGGTCTTTTATACAGGAGTGGCTATCTTGTAAGCTGACGCTAGAGAGGACTTGCATTTCCTCACCGATTTCTAGCCCGATTTTTCAGCAACGACCTTGACTTGCATCCAAGGCTCTTACTCTGTTAAATAGCGAGGCCGCACTGCACTAGCTAAATCACAGTACGTAAAGGCTCTTTATGTAAAAACACGTGTTTCCCTACTAAAAAACTGAATTACCGTGGTGGCGGAGTATCTACACCTCACTGGCGCGCCCTAGAGTGAATAACGGTAGCTAATCTTTACGTAATTATTCTGATCGAAGTTATACCCGTACCGATCAACGCAATTCTTGCGAACTTCCTTAGGATATTTATCAGGGTCCAACAATAATTTTACTAATTCTTATATGATGCTAGCGTGTCCAAATAATTAGAAACTGTAAGCGAGGTTCCTCTGATCTGTCAGTGTTCGACTCAACACCTTATCCTCTTGATTTTAGGAGCGACCAGAAGCCACTGGTATTATTTACCACGAGAGATATTCCCAAAGTTTCTTATGTTTTAATTAATCCAAATTAATCGTGCTTTCAATGGCCATTTATCGCTAACTGCACCTTAAAACTTTCCGCAGATTTTCCTTTTTTTGCATAATAAATCTGTTCTTTGTTGACTTCAGTTGACATCTTGTCTGGCTACCGGAAAATCAAAGCTTGTTTGTGTCAAGTGATCTACTCGCACGTTATTTTCAGCGGTTTACTTATGACCGGTCGAGTGAAGACTGTCGAAAAGTACGAAGTATTTTGCTTCTTACCTTCTAGTGATCTTACTGATGTAGATGATTCATGGTGGCCCTCCTGGCTGCGATGGCTGCCAACCTCCAGAGAAAAGCAAGCTGAAGCAGAAAAACGAATTCTTCAAAGTAAGAATGTTTCTCATGGTGTTACTTACTAAATCCTAGGGCTGCAGTGCAAGGTGGAAGATTTCTTCTTACCGATCTTTG